AAAAACATCCCTGTGTTACCCACACCGTTTCCAGCACAAATCCAAAACACAGCCCCAGACCAGCTACTGTGAAGAAAATTATCTCTACCCCAGCCAAAACCAGGGCAACACCCAACACAAATCTCCAGCGTTCAAATTCACGTTTGCATGGTGGCTGCAGGTGAACCCGGAGCCAGGGGAGTCTGCATGGCTCTCGTCTGCCCAGGCTGGCAGCTCAGGGCAAGGCAGCTTCCAGCCCACCATAGTTAAAAGGGGTTTCTCAACAGGGACAACTGGCTCTGCCATAGCCCAGTTGGATAAAAAAATCCAGCGAAAGAACACTTGCACCGATGTGACCAGCCCCAATAACTCACAGCACATCTTGCTACGCGATATTGAATCAAACCAGTAATGCAAAACCATCCCTGGCACAGCCAGGCTCCAGGGCAGCCTGGGAAGAGGTAAAAGCGCAGAAATTATTATTAAAGCTGTAAAAATTTTATGTATAAAAATATGAATGCAGAGGTGTCATCGTTAGGATGTATTGGGAGAGGACCACGACCCACCGGTGGGAATGTGCTATCCCGCTCGGCACTGCCACCGGAGGAGGCTCCTGGCTCTCCTGCCAGCCCCAGTCTGTGCCAGGAGCTCTTGGGGACGAAGGCTGCTCCTCTTTGCGTGCAGTGCCGAGCGGGAAAGGGTCTGGTCCTTGCAGCCCATGTCCTGGCACAAGCAGACGACATCGCTAGTGGGATGCCACCACCCTCCTGCGAGCATCGGCTCGGCAGCCGTGGCACCGCTTTTCTTTCTGGGCTGGGATTTGCCATGTAAACACAAGTCTCTCTTACGGCTGTCGTAAGAGCAGAGTCAAAATGGAAACTCTCTGCTCCCTTACACCGGCAGATCCCTCTGCCTGGCCACCGCACCTCTGAGCGGGACATGCTCGCATCCCATCCCATGATCCTTTATCTTCATAACCGGAGGAAAACTAAACTGTCCTCCTTTATTTTTTTTTCTCTCTAACCTGTCTTCTAAATCTGGAGACCAATCTCAAGGCACGAGGGACAAGACCTTCAGCGATGTTGATTTATAACCGAGCTTCTAAATTACAGGTTTACGCATTAGTATAAACACCCATAAACCAGTCTTAAATACACAGTATCGTATGTAATCAAAACGCCAAAACACCAGGCAGCCACGTGACGGCACTGGTGGATGAGCAAACTCCTCGCTCGCGCCTGGACCGCCTCGGCGGGGACGGGTCTCTGGCCAAGTGCTCCCAGTTAAACCAGTGCCTTGCACTGGGGGGTGGACCTCACCTTTGAAGGCAGGTCCTCAGCTGACGGCAGCATCGCCCCCGCCACAGGGAGCGAAGGGGCTGAGCTCCATGTCTCTCTCTCTCCTCCAACGGAGTTGCAAAGCACCACGGCAAAGCAGGGGGTTTGGGGTAAGGTGCTGATATTCAGAAACTCCCTAAAAATATATATAATCTCGCTTTCTTCCAAAAGCATGCCGCCTGGTTGAGCGGAAGAAGGGCCGATGGAGGTCCCAGGGCTGCACACGCCGCGGTGCCCCTCCGAGTGCAGGGCCGTCCCCCTGCCCGGCACACAGATGGGAAAAGTCAGGCAGATGGAGATTTCCGAGATCACACAGGGAGTCTGGAGGGAGGGCCATGAATCACACTTAAATCGCCTGCAAGACAGCCCGGTGCTTCGGCCCCAGTGGCTCCTTACCAGCTCCTGCTGCCGCGGTGCGGGGCTGGCCAGGATCTGTCCCTGGGAGCCCTCTCCGGAGCCCTTCAAAGCCATCGGGACAACCCTGCCAGCCCGAGCCGTGTGTGCACACGTGCGTGTGTGCGTGTGTTTTTCGGGCAGGGAAGGAGGTGGCAGGACTCTCCTCCCTGCTGCCTTCACTCCCCGTCGTGCACTTCTGGGCAAAATCCATTTGCTTTGGCTTCACGTAGGGCCAGAAGTTTTGGTCCATTGTGCTGCGGCGCTGAAGAGCCGGCAAGGAATTGTCGACCATGCTGAAACGGTTACATGGGGAGTAATGAAAATTTACTGCACCCTGCTCCGGTCCCTAGCCAAGAAATAAAAGCAAAAGATCACAACAGGCATTTTTTCAATTTGAAGCAAAATTAAAAAAAGAACGGATCCGCACTTAGAAAATAACAACCACATCCACAGATCAAAGCAGCTGTTCTCCTCTCATTCGGGGTTTTAAGAGGCTTCTGCAGCTACAGGGATGTTTACACAGGGAGAGAGATACATACATTGTGCTGTCTTGATGCTGCCTCTCCCCCCTTCATCTGGCAAAACATTCCCTGGGAGGCGATATGAGGTCATTCCTAGACCCTGTGTTGTTTTCCTCAAGCTGCAAGGCTTCGGGGCAAGAGGCAATTCATTTCCCATTAGCACACACACATTTGCACTTGGAACCCTCCCATGCACGTTTTGCCAGGGGAGCTCGGGATGGACGGGGGATCAGCCCTCGCCAGCTTGTTATTGCGTTCCCGGAGGGACTTCCAGCAGCTGGGGCTGCCCGGAGGGTCAGCGGCTCCGGCAAAGTCACTGG